TGGCTTGAGAATTTTAATCAACTTGGATAAGAAAACTTGGGATTCCAATAAGTTACTCCATCCTTAACTGAGACGAATTTACTAGCTTGCAAAAATCACAGTCATCACATTCTGTATTCAGGGTTTCCTTGCATTTAATCTGTGTACAGTTTACATAACACACAAATCTGGGAAATTATGACTTCTGTTCTAGCCTTATTACAGCTGCTTGATTCTCTAGCTGTTTAAATCATGTAAAATACTATGTGTAAGCCATGACTGATTTCTTCAATCTTTGTCAGGAAAAGTCTCTCAGATGTACTTCAATTTGAAATGGCTTTTACAGAAAAAAAAGAGAGACGAATAAATGTTTTCTTTGCCATTTGTAGGAGAAAATAAGGATTGTTTCTTGCTCTTCTTTTTTAAAAAAGAAAAGCTTTTCTTTTTTGTAAAAAAAACTAGAGGGAGGGAAACAAAGTTATTTACATGAGATGTTCTATAGGCTGCTTATATTAAAATTTGCTTTCCCTATTGGTTTTATAAGCTAAGAATATTACCTCAATAGGATGTAATGGTCAACTACAACTACCAAATTTGGTAATGGTGGCAGGTAACTGATGTGAGTTGAAGTCCAAATAGATGGAGGAAATGGTGGTGACCTTTTAAATACACCAATCAGGTATCATCATTGCTGGACCTAAGAAGAATTTTGCTTTGTGCAGAATTCCCACATTATGATGAGTTATCACTGCTAAAACTTGGACCAAGTCAATGGAGCATGACCAAATAATGGAATGGCTCCTCCTATGCAGACTATTTTCGCCTGAAGGACTATAAGAGATTTCAGTATATAATGGTAATTATTTTGCAAATTATGACTGCCTTTTAGTGTGTGTGTGTGTGTGTGTGTGTGTGTGTGTGTGTGTGTGTGTGTGTATCTGCAAGGTGATATGAACAATGGGAAGGAGCAAGACATCCCAGTACATAAAAAGTTATTGGCCCATTCTTAGATTGAAGAATGAAAGAAAATGGTCCCTGATGGATGAGTATTCAAGTACTTGTATCTCTTTATTTTGAATACATGGTTTAAGTGTATGTTTATTCATATGATGCATATGTATCTGTTTCATTTTTTTTTATGTGAGTGTTTTGAGCATGTGGTTTAGGCCAGTGATGAAATTCATATTTTTTTACTACCGGTTCTGTGGGCGTGGCTTGGTGGACGTGGCAGGGGAAGGATACTGCAAAATCCCCATTTCCTCCCCACTCCTGGGACCAGTCAGAGGTGGAATTTTCCGGTTCTCTGAACTACTCTAAATTTCTGCTCCTGGTTCTCCAGCACGTGCTGAATTTCATCCCTGGTTTAAGCATAAGTCTATTCATAGGTACACATAGGAAAAAATGAACATTATGTTAATATTGATTTGATGAGAGACCAAAAAGGGTCTGCTAAAATTAGGTGCATATATAAGAATGATGAGAGATTCTGAATATGGAACAGGCTAGTTTTACCCTGTCAACAATGTTTCTTCATAAAAATAAAATAGCCATGGATGAAAAGGATGGTGAAAAAAATGAATGAAAAAAATGATTTTTTTCTGCATGAAAAAAAATAGATACATTTCCCAGTAGAATGAATGATAAGTGGGCTGTGGAAAATGCTTGATGCAGCAAGAAAAAAATATATTCCAGAGCTCCAGAGAAGCGAATGGAGCACTGCTAATGGGAATTATAAATGGCAGAAAAAACTTATTGTATTTTGTAAATCTAATTAAACTGCATGATAAAGTAAATAGTCTTGAATTATGGAAGCTGTGCACAAATTTGATGCTGAAGGTTGTTTCTGAAGTTGGTAAGTTACATATTGATGGAAGCAATGCATGCATGATAATGCTATTTAGTGGTTCAACAATGAGTTGGGAGTAAGACAAAGAAATGTAATGTTTCATTGTTCAATGGCTTTATGGTAAAGCGTAGAAGGAATGCTTGTGATGGTATTAAAGATATATCAGTCGGGGACATGAATGCACATGTGCTGTTCAGCAGCTGTTAGATTATATGATGCAATGAAAAGTATGGATCTGAAAATAAATACAAAAACCAGGGTTTGATATTATTTGACAAGAAAAACAATACCATTTGTACATAAATGGCATTTGGAACAAGTAAATGAATTAGTGTACCTTGGAAGAATCTATTAACATGGGGAAATTGATAAAGAAATTTTATGATATGCAAATCTTGCCAGGAAGGCTCTGGATACTGTATAGTCTGAATAGGTGCTAACTGTACGTGGACTAAACTCAAAACAGAGTGACCATTTTCAAAAAATTACATTGAGTTGGCTTGATCACTAAGAAAATGTTGAGGAGGATTGAACTGCTGAACAAATATTTATTTATTTTATTTATTTGTCAAACATGTACAAGATAGCAGGTATAAGTATGAACATGGACATGAACAAAGGAAGTAAACACAGATAAATAAGGACAGTAAGGCAGGGATGGTGGGCACACTGGTGCGCTTATGCACGGCCCCTAAATGGACCTCTTAGGAATGGGGTGAGCTCCACGGTAGACAGTTTAAGGCTGAAGCTGTGAGGATTTGAGGATGTAACAAGAGAGTCAGGTAGAGCATTCCAGGTGTTGACCACTCTGTCGCTGAAGTCGTATTTTCTGCAATTGAGTTTGGAGGGGTTATCTTGAGTTTGTATCTATTGTTTGCCCATGTATTATTGTGGTTGAAGATGAAGTAGTCACTGACAGGTAGGACACTGTAGCAGACAATTTTGTGTACTATGCTTAGGTCAGACTGCAGGCGTAATTCCAGATTATCCAAGCCCAAAATTTCAAGCCTGGTGGTGTAAGGGATTCTGTTGTGAGCAGAGGAGTGGAGTACTCTTCTTGTGAAATACCTCTGGATCCACTCAATCGTATTAATCTAGCAAAGTTTTTGTATGCCCATGTTAGTAGTACATTGTTACCAGAGAAGAAGCTTCACAAAATTAGGTTACAACTCTTAATGCCTTTTTGGCAATGCTACAGTGTCTACTTCTGTACAGATAAAAATAGATTTCAAGTTTGTGCAATTTATTTGGAACTTCTATGTTCCTAGGAGTGTTTCACTAATTAGAAAAAAGAAACAGGGGAGCAGGCCCCTTAACAATCTCCATATACATTAAATCTGTGCTCAGTGACTACAAGATCATTGATTTGAAGCTAAAAGTCATGTGAGCCAGTTTAAGACACCAAGCTAGAAATCCTAAATTCTAATCCTACTTAGGCACAAAAGGCAGCTGAATGACTTTGGGTCAGGCAATTAGATAAGCAGTTCTGAAATCTTGCCTAGAAAACTGCATGGAGTCGTCCTAGCAGCCGTGAGAAGTCAACTGGCTTTTAAAGGCTTCTTTTTTAAATGGCCAGGAAGAATTCCTTTATATTTGTCGCTTATGCTGCAGCTATACTGCAAACCATGAAAGAATATTCTTTATATGATCCCCAGCATAGAGGGAAGGAGAAAGAGATGCAGATTAAGCCAGCCCAGGCACCTGCTTCTCCTCGCGTTGTTGAGCCCGTTTGGAAGCGTCCCATCAAAAAGCGGAGTTGGGAGCATATTAACCAGGCTTACTGGCAAAGGACGAGGTGGTACTTCCCGTGTTGATAAAGGCACTCGCGACGCTGGGCACTAATTCAATACAAATAGTCATCGATTTATTGTTTTTTTTAGAGCCCCGCACATGGAAGCAGACGGAGATTTCTCGCCCCTTTCGAAAGAAACCAGGATATGACGACAAACCCTTCTCAGACTAGAACTCTTGAATCTATGAGAATACGGTGTTTCTCATGACTGGCGGGGGAATTCTGGGAGTTGAAGTCCATACATCTTAAAGTGAGAAATGCTTGTTTATAGGACTTGGAGGCTGCGTCTTAACAATAATTCCTCCGAGAGAAGAAGCTGCCTTCAACAGTGCCTGTCATTCTGATTAACTTCATCTGATTTACTGAAAAACCGAACTCATACTTTTACGCGCTCAAATTTGAGATCCGGAAGGAGGTCTCTGCAAGAACTACGGGAGCTGCCCGGGATCTTTGGGAACATGGCGGCCGCCGTAGTTGTCGCGGCCCAGAGAGTCTGCAATGCCGGCATCCTCAGGACCGCGTGCAGAGGTGAACCCTTTTCTTGCTTTCGCCTGGACTGAAATTTCCATGCACGGGCTGGATCGGGGGCTTCTTCACGTTAGCCTTCCTTCTTCTGGGCCCTTCTAGCCTCTGCCCTTGTATATGTATATGTATATGTATAATATGTTATATGTATTGGATTGCAGCCATCATAGCCCCTGTAGCTTCGGTTGCTTTTTTTTAAGAGTAGCAAATCTGCTAATAAAAAATGAGAAGACGGGCTCTGAAATTTAGTGTTTCCTCATAGGCAGTTTATCCACGTTTGAAAATCAAGCCAAGCTTGCTTAATTAAGGATAAATGCAATACATAAGGAAGTCAGCTTCTGAATAAATGAACATAAACTGTTCACAACTAGCACTCGTGATTAACTTAACCATTCCTAAGCCTTTACATGGCACTTTAAACCATAAAATAAGTTGGCTTGCAGAACCCGTTTGGCAAACGTGATTGGCTATAATGAAAAAAACAGTGGAATTACCTTGTAAACTTGCAGATTTACATATTAGGAATAGAATAAAATAACTTTAGAATTGTTGCATAACTTTGTATTTTGCTGTGCAATTTTTGCCTTCATTGCAAAGAGCATTCTAAATTGGAATATCGGCCATAGGCTGTGCTTAAGATGGATTGCTTTCAGAGTTCATTGTGGATATAGTTTCAACCAATAGTGTTTAGAATAATCACCTCAAATCGATTGCAAATCAATTTACTAATAATAAATAAATGTTAAAAATATTTCAAATGCAGAGAGTTTAATCCTTTCTTGTCTCTGTTCTTTTCTGAAATTGTGAGTCCAGTTGGTACAAACATTCATTGCCCCATCTCATACTTCCCAATAAATACTGCAGCTGTCATTTATCTCACAGTCGTTGCTTTCGATGACATTTACCTAAAGCAAAGAGGTAAATGGGTAAAACACAACAATGATAATCTGTATTAGAATTTTGTTAGGTGGGTGTATTTTTGTATGAATTATACCCATTTCTGAACCTCCCAACTTTGAGGAGTAAGAGTTGATGATATGAAGAATGGGCTCCAATTGTTACTCATAGGTAGGAATTTTTGTTCATGGACCTTGAAACCAATCACAATTGCATCCTCCTGAAAATGAATGAAATGAACACACACACACACACACACACACAGACTAAAGTGGACATGCAGTATGGTTCAATGGATCTTTTTTTCTTTCTTCAATAATAAATTGAGTGAAAGTATAATACATTAATTGAAAAGCATATATTGTTTTATAATAAATTAAGTGAAAAGATAATAAGAGAAGAAACCTTCTTGCCCTGAAGACTTCTTTCCTCTGTTCAAAATCATCTCTTCGCTTCTTTATTGTAGTGAAGAAAATACATAGTCCGTACTCTCAGTAACAGAGATGCTGAAGGGAATTATTTTCTCTAGAGCAGAGGTGGACAACTATGGTAACTTCATGGCCTGTGGACTTGCTGGATTAGAAATTCTGGGAACGGAAGTCCATAGGTTGTAATGGTGCCATATTTGCCCACCCCTAGCCTAGAGCAATGTTTCTCAACCTTGCCAATAATGGTTAGCTTATAATGGATAGCATAGTTGAGGGATTCTGAGAATTGAAGTCCACCCATCTTAAACTTGCCAACATTGAAAAACACTGGTCTAGAGAATTGCCTAGAAAACTCTGACCAGGCCCCCGGGGGGGGGGGGGGGGGTTTTAAATTTAAAAAACCGTTTTTTCTGTAAATTGACTAGAGAGATGTAGACTGTTGCTTCTCTGGGTTACTGCTTTATATTTAAATGGTGGTGATTTGCTTTAGGGTAGAAATATTAATGAGTGAATTAATTAAGTTAATACATTTAAATTATTTTAATAGGTAAAAAGATATGGCTGATTGGTTGGTCAGCAAAAGTCTAAAGTTGTTCTATTTACTACAAGAATCTATAAAAATTATTGGTGGTGGAATCATCTTAAGAGCTCTTGCATTTTCTTTGCTGCCATAAAGAAGCGAAGAGAAGATTTTGAACAGAAAAAGAAAAGCCTTCAGAGCAAGAAGCTTCTTTATCTCCTATTATCCTTTCACTTAATTTATTATAAAATAATATATACTTTTTAATTAATGTATTATACTTTCACTCAATTTATTACTCTTTCTCTTATACAATGTATATACATATTATCCAAGAAATGTATCCAAATATGCTAATATTTCTTGAGATATTTCTTATTCATAAGTTAATATTTTTTCAACCCTTCAATAATTAACATTATTTTTTCCCCCACAGGTTACGCTTTGATTTCAAACCATGGAATCAGTTGCCAGTATGCTGCCTTGGCATCGACATTTCAGACACATTGCAACATTTCTGCATCATATAATGTGACAGTGCAGCAGAGAAGGCAGAGAAGCTTTTTCAATAAATGTAAGTATTTGGAAGCTGCTAATCAACCCTGCAACCTATAATTTTACTCTTATGTTAATTAGATTCACACCCCATCTTTCTACTTTTATAAACATTGAAGGCAGATTACCACATTTAAAATCAAACTATAAAGTGAAATTAAAATCTATTAATAGTGAAAATCTGGGTGAAAACTTTTGATTCCATAGTCTTGAAGCTACACAAGAGAAGGTCTTTTCCCACATGTCAGATAAAAAAGCTTCTGATTGCAGATGCATCTACTGTTAAGTTATTAGTCAGGCTTGTAGCAGGAAAGATTTATGGCAACCAGCCCATAAATTCTTTAGGGCTATAAAATCAGCATTGTTGCCTTAAATTTTAGATAATACCGCGTTTCCCTGAAAATATGACAAGGTCTTATTTTCTTTTTACCTACAAAATATGGCTTGGGCTTTATTATGGGGGGAGGGTTTATTGTTTTGGGGTTTCCGGGCGGCTGCTCTCTTGTGAGTGGGCTCCCAAAATGCCGGGCACAGCCTCATGGGCGAATGGCTGTGTTGCGCTGTCGCAGCAGCGCAACACAACAGCCATGAAGTGACCAGGCTGACGAGCAGCCACCTGGCAAACCCCCTTTGCAGCCGGGCACAACGCCATTCACTGACCTAGGGGTATCGCCAAGCCACGTGAGCGCCTGTTCGCTGCCGCCCAGCTCCCACGGCTTGACGCCTTCCAAATGTCAGTGA